CCCTACACCCTCTTCAAATTATACTGAATCATTAGAACCATCATCCACATCAACTGAATCTTCACTCAACACTAATAGAGCTTACCGCACTTTTAAAAGAAAGTTCCCCAACCATCCTTTCCCAGCAAAACCAGGAACAGCCCGTGAATACATCAACCACCCCAAGCATACTAACACAAAAGAATTTTTAGCCATCACCTTACCCTCATTCCCACAATACACCTTAAACACCCCCCACGACACTAACGAAACACGCAACTTTGTAGATGAATACGTTTTAATGCCCACTCTCTCTTGGACCTCATATTATCATTTTACTAACCCTCTTTGCTTACCTTTATCTAACACTCACATCGATATAGAGCGAAATACGGACATGCTATATCGACTCACTACACCACTAACCGCTAGACAATTTACTTACGTTGGATATAAAAAATCACTAAAAACACACACTGCACCTAGAGCTAACGAATATACACTCGAATACTATGATCACAACATCATCAGAGCTAACCAAGATCAATTCTTAGACGACGATCGCTTCGCTAATCCACAAATTACCGAGAAATTTTTCATCAAGACACCATATATATTTACACTAAACATCTTCGACCGAAAGTTTGATCACATTATTTCAGAAGCACTAACAGACACACAAGCATACGAAAGTTTTAAAGAACGCTTCCAAATATTTTCACTAACCTATCATTTCCTTGCACCACACGAAAGAGATTTACACTGCTCACACGATATTATGTTGCGCACTAAACAAACCCACACATATAGTTATTACCGCTTCATCCAAAATCACTTTGACCTACACACACCCTCTAGACAACCACACCATCGCTTTCAATTCATTAATTCCAAATACACTTCACCATTTTTCCTAAATTTCACATATTGCATTAAAGATACTAACCTTCATGGTATTCTTCGCAATTATGATCCCATAACCCAAATGTACATCTTCTGTCCCATCACCAAGACCTTCAACGCCGAAGAATCCCGACCCTTCCTTATCCCGCACGAGTTTGTACAACCTATAGAAATCCCAATTTTAGAATTCATCCACAACACTAAATTCAATCACAAATTATATAATCTAATCCAAAACACACCTTATGAGTTTGCAGTTGGCACTGAAGAACTAACCACTATTAAGGCACTTCAATTGCTTTGGCCACTGCTTCAGACTAAAAATATCATCCGCATCTTAGCTAAACTACTAACAAATTCCGATCTCATCCACGACATCTTCCCCCACGGTTTTTTCCCCGACGACTAACAGGTAAGTATGAATTAAATGAATATTACTAACTAATTAAAATATTAAAAACTCACCATTCTTTATCCATGTTTTCTTTAGATTTTTAGTCTTCATCCGACGATCACCTACAAAAACCACAAAAAACAAATAAAGATCGCAAATTTCATCAAACAGATTTCAACAATTCTATTAATCTCTTACACTTATAAATTTATAAATTTAATAACAATGCAGTAAATTCATTCCTAAAATTTTCCCCACAAGCAGTAAATCTAATTATGATGAAAATTTGTAACTTAAAATTCCCCCATAACTAGCAGTAAATTTCCAAATTCTATGCAGTAAATTAATAAGAAGCAAATGCAGTACTAACCTTTTGATATTCTCATTCATTCGCACAGAAATTCTATCCACACTCGCACAGCTCGCCCACGAAGAATTGTTTAAAATAATGAATTTCAGTTTCAAGTTTTCACACTCAACAACTCTAACATATAATAACATGTTTCAAACCTTCCTTTAACCCGGTTGGAAAGGAATCATATACTAAACAAAACTAACCAACGCAGCTTACTAAATACCACAAATCATAGAATAACAGCATGACTAAGAAAAGGAAACCAACGGTACCCAAACCGGATTAACCCAGTTTAAAACTGGATAATTTATTCTTTTGAAGACTATTATAAAGTCTAAGAAAGAAATAATAAAACACAAAAAAGTCGAAAGACAAACCCATACCACGAACAATTTGCTTTTTGGAAAAAGGACATAACCAACAAGACATAAGAAAAACCACAACAAACCCAACATAAAACGTTGTCACATAACAGGACCCCTCACAAAAACCGCATGAAATCATACTCCCACTCCTGGCCTAACCCACCAGGAAGGACGTCCTGAGCATGCTCTATAGCCGGCCTAACCCACCGCGCTACATACACGCTTTGTGACCACACCTCTATTTTTAATAAGAGCTACTCAAGTGTGAGTAACTCTTCAAAATAACCGAACTAAAACAAAAAGCTTTTGTGAAAACAACTAACTAAAATCATAATTAAAAAATATTAAACTAATAAATGTTTTATAAAATGTAAATTACATTATGCAATACATAGATCAGAATACAACACCAAGGACGAACATCTAAAGACAAAACGACCCCACTACGCTCGAGAGAGAATGGCCAACCACAATCGATATGCCACTCACAATCACAACTCAAAGGATTTAGAGTACGACTTGACTTCGCAGAAAAGGACTTCATTGAACTAGACCAATGACCACCTCGATGTTCAAGTATACGTACAGATCCGAGTAACCAGGCATCCCCTCCACGCACAATCTCCACGCCATTCCCAAATTAGATCAGACACAAAAGAAGTTCTCCACGCAGAACAAAAACCTGACATAGCAAACTATTCTGAAATCAGATTTGAGTTTGTTGCAAAGACTTAGTCGTTGTCACTAGAAGACACAACGTCTTATGTCTCTAACTCCAGCTTCCTGGAACTTCTTTAACAAAGAGGAAACAGAAGAAATAAGATGTTCGCCAAACACCAACGTCCATCATCCATCCTTCGAATTGCAGAAGAACTATTCTAAAAAAACTCTGTAAAACCCGGATGGGTGGAACCTGATCTAAACTACATTTTATGATTGGATAAATTAGATATTTTACCAATGTAAAGTATTTAATATTAACCAATCATGATCCATCTATCTAACAACCCACTTATTTGTAAGTGCTGAAGTTACTTGTAATTTCAGCACCAGAGAGATTTGAATTTAACTTAGAAATTAGTTGGACTCTCCCGAGCACTTCAGCAGCCGCAATAAACCAGTATACCCTAGATCTATTGAGCCTAGCAGAGACTAGTTAAACAACCTGAGACTAGATAGTATAAGAGTAAGATTAGGATCGGTATTAGACTAAGAAGTTGCACGAATCTATCCGGCCGAAAATAAGATAGCGTGACGAGCAGACGGTGTACCCTATCCGAAATTACTCTATGAGTTAACCAACTCGGTCCTAACTCAAAAATGTCATGAATGAATCCAAACATTTAGTTATGTTAGATAATGGGTCTATTCTTAGAAAAAATGGAATGGACTAGAAGAGAATCAGTAACCCCAACAAATTGTTTTCAAAGGACGTTGGCGGAAAGGCGGCAGAGTTAGAGAAGAAGCTAGGCTAAAAATTGTGGTAGCAAAACCTAGTTCGAGTAGTGGAACAAAGAGGCAATCGAAAATTGGGATTACGACTCTGATACGGAATTAGACTTTGAACCGATGCGACTGCTATTTGTGATGGTGCCTGCAGAGAGATCAAAAGTGGCCGATCAAAAGACACGCAGGGGAGAAAGGCGAAAAGTGAAGAGGCGATAGTCGTGACCGTAGAGAATCAAATCGGCAAAAAACAGAGATACGGCGAGCGAATTACCTGCAGAAAGACGGAACCTGACGAGCAACGTACCTGCGGGGACACAAAACACAGCGAGCGAGGTGCTTGCGTAATAACGATTTTGGGACGGAGCGTAAGCCGCACGGTGAAACAAACACTAAAAGGCAGTCTACGTGGACGGGCACAAAGAAAACAGCAGGAGACCCAAATTTGGAGGGATTATGATAGGCAGTATTGTTCAGGAGGAGAAAAAGAAGGGAAAGAGTACGAGGCCAGTAGAAAGGAGAGGAAAACGTGAAGCACAACTGCCAGAAAACTGTAGAAACTAAATTCCCAGGAGAGAGTTGACTAAGAGTCTAAAACGCAAAATAAACTTTTAATTTTGATTTAAAAATTTTGAGCGAAAGGATATGTCATGCATGTGTAATTTAGTATCACTTAATTTAGATTTGAGTTTGTTTATTGTCGCCTTTGGAGCTGTTTGTCAATTTGGTGCCAATTTCATTAAGTACCTGTCACTTTGCCATCCAGTGAGTGTGAGTGCCAAAACAGTATTGTGTTATGTTGATTGAAATACAGTTGGCGACAATTTATATACTTCGGAAATTAAAGTGCTGAATATGGCGTTGAATATTTTTTCACCTCCCCATTTCCAATGGTTAGAACAAAACAGTAAGCTTCTCAAGTAGCACGGTTGATGTTGCACTTTCAATGAGTTTAACAGAACAGCCATGATGCAAAAATTGCTGCTGATGGTTTGATAATTTTTGTTGTTAAAATGACTACTGGGATTACAAAACAAATGTAAAAAGGCTACTAGCTGAAAGCTTATTTTTTAATTAAAAAGTATAGCCCAATATTTCAGTTCTTTCTTTCGTAAAGCTTTGGTGGCATTCCGGTGATACTTTTGTCCCAGAACCGCGGATGCGTGGTAGCTTGATGACTGAACATACATGTTTCCAACTGCTGGGTGTTCCACATACTCGAAGATTTGGTCCTGTTCCTTTTTTGCGCGCTCTGAAAATGTCTCACAGTCGCTTTTCCCCGTTGCTGCTGGTTTCCACTTTTTCCGTCACAATTAACCAATCGGTTAATACTTAGTGCACTGACTTTTTTTGCTGTTGTCTCGCCCATTGAGTAAAGCATGAGTGATTTAGGGAGCAGAGATCAGATGGCTTCAAAAACGTCCGAAAAAGCTCGCTTTTTGCATGCAAACTTATAATTTGTCTTTTGTGTGATTCAAAACATTTATAGCTTCTAACGAAAAATTGGACTGTTCATCAGCATAAAAATTGTGCTTTTTCTTTTGACCAGAAGTTTAAATATGAGTATTGTTTTCTTCATATTGTAAAGTTTAAAAAATACGACCAATATTTGAGAGCAAGTTTGAAGCAGCTATGAATTGTTGATTAACTGAATTAATTTGTTGTTTTATAACTAATTTGTGGCGATTGCTATAACTGGTTAAATATTATTTCGTAGGGGGATCTCGTCCTTTGCTTCAGCTCACCTTTTAAACGCTGTTGTGATTTAACCAAAATATTTCGTTGTTAAAAATTGACTATTTATGTTATGATAAAAAATACAGATATTGAAATTTTCCATACCGGTTTTTGGTATAGGTTTCTTCAAATCTTTCCGAAGAATTTGGAAAATTGCTCAAACTACAGCAAATATCTCATGGTAATAAGACTTGGAACGCTCTCTAAATGCAGCAGGGAAAAAAGTGAGCTGAAAGATATCGAAATAAGAGTTTTTGATTAAAATGCCTTTATCATGCGCCCAACAAAGAGCGCGCAGAAAAGGAAGGTCCAGTTTAGCAAACAGTGAAAATTGTCCTGACTGTGGTAGACCCATGCATGTTTGCCTCTTGGACGGGGGATATGTCACTGAGGGGGTGGGGTCGTTATTTTCGACCCCAAAATTTGGAGAAATTGAGTTATTGATCCAAGAGGAACCGACAAAAGAAGAACAAGTGATTCACGAAGAGATCAAAGCAACGATGCCGGTGTATCAGAGTGCGGCTGTGGACGCCTTACGATCTTTTTCCAGAGAAAAGGGTGAGACAAAAAGATATTTTCTGAGCTGACAATTACTATTTACGGGTAATTGCTTACTCCAAAATACATTTTCGTGTTTATTACTAATTTGATCAAGATGAAAGAACTCAGATGTTAAAAAATACGAAAATTTTATGATAAGCTAAAATCTTATAAAGTTGACTTTTTTATGATCTCTCCACATAATTTAGATAAGATAATTTAAGATAATAATTTAAGATACAATCCTACTATTTCAAATTGTGAGCCCTTGACTTACTTGATATTAGATTTTAATTGCAATCTCTATTTTTTCACTCTATTTGTATGTACCCCAGTTGAGAAAAAATTTGGGCTGATAGTCCTGGTAAAACCAAAAAGGAGTGTTTTTTTATTCAGATCAATTTTACAAAACTCTGGTTCTTCAGGGCATCGAATTCTTGATCTGCATGGGCCCAGCCCTGTGTACACACCAGTGACCCGTAAATAAGCGACAGCTGTTAAGGCGAGAACCATTTCTGATTGAACTTTTAGACGAAAAAGTACATTTCTGAAAAATTGACAACGCGAAACGATTATTTGTAAACACGGGAATATGTTTTTGAGAAATACAAAACGCAAAATGATTGATTTAAACACACTCGGGTGACCATCTTAGAAAAAATTCCCCTATCTTAGTTTTTCTCATAAGATTTGTAGGAATTTTCCGCTATCTTACAACTTTCTGATAAGAAGAGTTCTAAGATAGCAACTTTTTCCCGAACTCCAAAAAAAATCACTGAAAACATTGAAGTAAAAATTTTCATGTAGCGTAATAATGTATGCATGTGAAACCAAAAATTCCGAAACAAAAAACTTTACTTTTCAATAAAACCCCTAGTTATACGAAATTAGCTGTTGAAAGTTAGTTTGGAGAATAAAACCCCTAGTTATACGAAATTAGCTGTTGAAAGTTAGTTTGGAGATTAAAAAAATATATCCTTGACGAATCATGTTATATAGCTTTGGACGTGTTGAAGTGTTGTATGTGGGTTTCAGATATAATTCGACAAAACTTCTAGTAAACAGCAGCTCAGGTGGCGAAACAATAATTTTAGGCTACGAATTACCGTTATTTTACTATGCTACAGCTGACAACTTTGAAGCCGGTCTTAAGAAACTTTTGAAAAGCGAACAAAAAATCTTGAAACATTTTTGTAGGAAAAGATCCTATCTTACAATTTTTTAAGAAAAGTCACTATTTCCTATTTTGAAACATTATTGGAGCCTAAGTTTGTAAGAAATTGTAAGATTTTTATTAAATCAAGTCGTAAGATAGCGACTTTTGGTCAACATGGGCAATTTTGAGAAAAACAAAACGGAAGTTTTATCAGTTAAACACGCATCAACCATTATGAAATGAAAAACAACTTGGAAAAAATTCTCCATATAGGTGGTTTGTAATCCGTAAAAATTTATTGGGATGGAATTGCTCGTATTTGTAGTTTTTTGGATGCTAAAACTTTTTTGTCGTCTAAATGTCTTGTCGTCTTAATGTCCCGTCGCCTTATTTGCTTAGCACCGTGCACAGCTTTATAGTAATCTAAGTAATCTACCACGATTCTGTGTAAACTGCTCGTTTTATAAATTACACGGGTGATTCATTATCCACGATAATGAACCACGATTCTGTGTAAACTGCTCGTTTTATAAATTACACGGGTGATTGATTATCCCGCACAACAAAATCGTTCCAAACTGAATTGAGGGAGCTAATTGCTTTTATTGATTCCATACACTACTCAAAGTGTAACACTTAAATTTTAATATGATCAGCCTAGATCATAGTTTTGTCAATTCTTATTTTATTAAAAATATGAAAGTCAGTCTGAACAATTAGGGCTTTGCCCTGATAGGAGCAGTCTTGTTCATGTTTCACTAGGAGTATTTCAATATCTAGCAGCATAGTTCAAAAGAAGCTTTTCTCTTTGTGTATCTGTGATAAAAAAAAATTAAAATTTTTTTATGTTTTTTTTCAAATTTTTTGCAGATGCTTTATGGAACCTGATCTAAACTATATTTTATGATTGGATAAATTAGATATTTTACCACTGTAAAGTATTTAATATTAACCAATCATGATTCATCTAACTAACAACCCACTTATTTGTAAGTGCTGAAATTACTTGTAATTTCAGCACCAGAGAGACTTGAATTTAACTTAGAAATTAGTTGCCTCTCCAATAGAACTTCAGCAGCCGCAACAAACCAGTATACCCTAGATCTATTGAGCCTAGCAGAGACTAGATAAACACCCTGAGACTAGAAAGTATAAGAGTAAGATTAGGATCGGTATTAGACTAAGAAGTTGCACGAATCTATCCGGCCGAAAATAAGATAGCGTGACGAGCAGACGGTGTACCCTATCCGAAATTACTCTATGAGTTAACCACATCGGACCTAACTCATCTGGTGCGACCATAAGTCTCGAATAAGACCTTAATAGCTTAGAATTAACCAAAAATAGATTAGAATTTAGACAAAACATTTTAAAAATGTTATACGACGATAATTTAATCGAAATGTCTCTACGACTCAATAGATCAGAGCCGATATTCCGAACGATAACAGAACTACCCGAAATCGTAAGAAGACCTGGAACAAGAGACGACATACGACAAAAGAGAAACTTACCATATAGTTATATGATAGTACGGCAAAAGCCAACACAAAGTTTTATATTTAGAATCTTATTAGCAATCAATTTAGATTTTCATTTACAAACATAAAATTTGAAGTCAATCTTCATAATCATTTCAGGCGCTAAGAAAAAGTATTAATATACAATAACGATTGATAAAAAGATCTCAGATCGTTTTCTTAAATTCTGCAGTCTTATATAAAACATGTTTGAAAACTATTTATTGAAAATCAAAATAAAAATTAGTAGCATGACAATAAATTGTTACTAATCATAAAATCATCTGTTGTCCCAGCATCATCCCCTAAACATAACAGCAATCATAAGCTCACTGATATCATTAAAAAACTAAATCTTTTTCTTAAATAAATTTAAACCATTTTAAACTTAAATTCACTTAATTTTAAAATCAGATCATCAAGGCTTATCCTTGGATCTTAATTAATTTCCTATTTCACTAAATTTAAAAACCTGATCATCAAGGCCTATCCTTGGATCAAAAAGAACAATTTTGTTCTCCCCCACCCACTTAGCAAGTGTCTAACGACCTCAAACGTCGTTTCACTATCCAACCCTTCCAAAAAACCCAAGACTAATAGAAATTTTTCAACAAAACTAACCATTCAAATTAGGATAAACAGTGAAGAACTTCGGTTATTCATCCTTCACTTGAACCCTCCTCTTACCAGACCCAGGATAAATCTTAGACTTAGTAAGTTTAAAATAGTATCTAACGAACTACTCGCGTTCTAATTATACCTGAACCTTGTGGATCGATTTACTATTCTCCAACCCTTGAACACAATCACTACCCCTAAGTAAGATTAAGTAAGTTAACACCTTAGCTTATACTAGCCACGAGAAAGTAAAAAATCATTCTTCGGAATCGATATACTTTTCTCTCCAACCCTAAACAAATAGACCCAGGTTAAGCTAACCAAAAAATCGTAAGGACTAACAGTTTAAGAAAGTAGAAATCATCTAACAATTTTTTGCATCCCTCATCCTAAACCTTATGTCATTCAAAATCTAGGAAACAAACAAACAATCGTTTTACACAACTGTGAAATAGATAAAAAAAATACGATCTTGTAATCACACCTCATACACAAACAGTTGGATACATTAGAACAAAACGACTAACAATAAAAAGAAAAATAATAAACAAACAAAGACAAATCACACGAAAAAGATTTTCAAAAAATAGAAACGCATTTTCAGAATCAGAAGCCACCAATTTAGATGAACTCTATAAATTAAAAGAATCGATTGATAAGAATTGTCCCATTCACGATCAATTATATTTTTCCGACTCAGAAACAACTTCAAATTCATCAAAAAGAGGAAAAAAAAGAATAAAAAAGCAATATAAACACAAACCAGTACACTTGTATAATTGGAATCAACCAATTAGACACATCGATAGTTATATATTAATAGTCATTAAACGAAAAAATGAACCACACTCAAAAAGACGATAGTCCAGATGACGAAGAGATTTACCCCTTCCTCATAGATGCACCCGATAATAGAGGGCAGCATGACTTTTGCAAGAATTTACTCCTAAATTTGTTTGAACCCGGAATCAGCCCATGCAAAGCAGAATTCCCAGATGTAAAAATCAAAAGACAAATTATCGAACATTATCTGAAAGATATACGTAATTTAACACAACAATACGGAAGCTACACCATAGAATTCAGCACACCAAATCCGAATCACCGCAAATATATAATTCAAACAGACGATCTTGAATTAGAATTTTCAAAAGTATTCTTAGAATATATTAAAAGCATACAATATCATAACTCACAAAGAGCAAACTCCATATTTACTAACGAAGTTTTTGCAATAATATTTAGCTATATTTCAATATTAGAAAAAATAGAATTTCAAAGTATCTCACCAACTGAAACATCCAAACATACAAAAGTACGACAAGAAATCACATTATTTTCAACTTTTCTACATATAATCAAAGAAAATTTCACTAAAGACGAAGTTTCACAACACACAAAACATGACTTACAAAAAATTTTGGCATGGTTTATAACAGATTATTTCATACATAATATAGACTTAATTTCACAAGCAAGAAAAAATTTCAGACCTCAAAATCCAAACAATGATACTGCCATCACAGAACAGTCAGACTACGTTTGGGACCCTGAATGGTCTCATCATGCATTTTTAAATATCCCACAATCAATCTCAAGTCAAGCAATAAGTACAATATCTTATCAAAGAGATTATGTGAGAGTAGTACCACTGACCATTGATGCAACACCATTAAACTACAATACATTTTTACCTGATACGCGAAATAAAAGTTTAAATTCGA